GGGTCAAGCCCCACCCATGACAGCCTATACCACAGTCCCACAGTCACCTGTGGGTGGCTGAGATGCATGGAAGGTGGCTGGGAGCTGGGACTGGGACCTCGCATGCTGGGGCAGGAGCCACCTGGCTGCAGCCCCCCTGTCCCGGCTGGGCATCTCCTGGCTTGGCATGCATCTCCAGTCACCTCCTACCCCTGCTTCCCAGAACCGCACAACAGGGACAAGAAGAGGAGGAGGAGCTGCTGCTAGAGACTGGGGGTATTGAGCAATACTCAGGTGGCTGCAGCTGCACCAAGAGCAGCACTGAGAAGCTGTGTGCTAGAGCAGTGGTGCCTGGAAGGCACAGGTGGGAGCGTGGCATGCACTACCTCGGGCAGAGCCTGGTCCTATTCAGAGTGCTGTGGGGACCGCCAAGCCAGATACAGTCAATTGGCAGGGGTCCACCTGCAGGTGAGATCCAATCAGATCTGGTCCACATGCTGTATTTTGCCCACCCCTAATGCTAGAAGACTGGCGAGCCAAACCAGGCACTATCCCTGTTCTAGGTGGGGAGGGAGGAGTGGAGAGATGGGTTGGTAGGAGGGGGAGAAGGAGATTGGAAAGGCTGGGGCCCGGCCGTGCCCCCACCCTGTGGGGCCAGGCGGAAGGAAGGTAGGTGGAGCACCCCCCGCGACTGCAAAGCCTCCAGTGCGCCGCTAAGGAAGCGTTTATTCGAGTCCCGCCAGAACAGGCTGGACGACACCTCGTGAAGGGCCAGCCCAACCTGCTCGAGACAGGGCGGGGCTCCCGTACCAACGCCTGCGCTCGCGGGCCCGGACTCCGGCCCCTCCGCGGCGTCTGACGAGGGGCCTCCTCGCACCGCAGCGAAGCTCCCCTGCCCTGCCCTGCCCTGCCCTGCCCGTCCCGTCACCCGCCACAGGGTCCCGTCCTTACCCGCTCCCCACCCCTCTCTTACCAGCGCAGGAGCCCTACCAACCCGCGGAACACCCACACCCGCCCCAACCGCTCCCACTCACTCACCCTCTCGTGGAAGATAGACTCCATGTTTATTTGTCTCGAGCCAGCGGCCTCCGCCTCACGTGACCGCGGCCCAGCCAATCGAATCGCGCTTCACCAGCAGCCAATCGCCGCAGTAGCTCCGCTTCCTTCCCCGCCCCCAACGCGGCCACGTGGATCTCGCCCCGCCCAATAACATCCAGGCGGGCCGATCATGTGACTGCGGCCGCCGGACCGACTCGGGACGAACGCGCTTCCGGAGTAGAGTCCTTGCCGCCCGCGCGGGCTCCCTCTGCAGGCCGGGAGGATCCAGGCGCTGGTGCAAGGAAGGGAGAGCTGCACGGGCGCGGCCGGCCCTAGCCCAGCAGAGGCGCCTGCTGCCGGTTGCGGAGCGCTGAGTACCTTGGTCCGGTTACCCCAGCCCGGGGATCGGTATGTCTGCCCGAAGGGGTGAATTAGGAAATACATTTCCCAATACCTCCTGAGCTGCACGCGGGGCATTCAGGCACAAAGACTATGGCATTTTCACTAGGATCTGCACAAACCTCTCCCCCGGCCACAACTGGCAAGGGGAAGGAGTAGGGAGTTATTTCTAAGCAACAGGCACTGTCTGACAATAATACTGAAAACAGGACTGAGTGAAAGAGAAGAAATGGGGGAAGGGAAGAAAAGGTATATCTCACCAGGTTTAACATCATTCATTCTCCCAGAGGCTGGTACACAAGACAGAGCGGCTGGGCAAAGACCACTGCATCCCAACGTTGTCATATCCAAACACTAAAATCCCAGACTGATGGCATGGCAGCATCATTAGTTGCTCCATCCATGCTGGGAGGAGCTGCTGACTAGTTTAGCTGGCTGATGTTTCCAGCTTAAAGAAAAATAAGCATGTCTCACTATTGGATGCTTCATAGTAGAGGGTCAGAAGGGTCCTGAACAGATCATCTAGCCTGGCCCCCTGCCACAGGCAGGAATAAATGCTGGGTTCACAAGACCCCAGACAGGTGATCATCCAACCTCCTCTTGAATTTGCCCAAGGTAGGGGCGAGGACCACTTCCCTGGGAAGCTGGTTCCAGATTTTGGCCACCCTAACTAAAATATTGCCTTCTGATCTCTAACCTAAACCTATTCTACATCAGCTTATTACCATTGTTCCTCATCACCCCAGGTGGTGCTGGGGAGAAAAGGGCTCTACCTATTTGCTGTTGATCTCCCCTGATGAGTTTGTAGGCAGCCACCAGGTCCCCCCTCAGCCTCCTCTTGCTGAGGCTGAACAGGTTCAGGTCTCTCCTTGTACGGCCTGTCCTGCTGTCCTCTCACCAAGCGGGTGGCCCCATCAGCCAATTTTTTACCCATCCAACTGTGCAGGCATCAATGCCACAGTCGCTTAATTTATTGATGAGGATGGGGTGAGAGACAGTGTCAAAGGCCTTCTTAAAGCCCAGAAAGACTACGTCCACAGCAACAGCATCATCCAAGGATTTAGTTACTTGGTCATAAAAGGTAATCAGCTTGGTCAGGCAGGACCTGCCTTTGATGAACCCATGCCAATTGCCCCTGAGCATGATCTCCCCTGCAGGCCCCCCACAGATGTGCTCCTTGATGATTCTCTCCAAGATCTTCCCGAGCACCGAGGTGAGGCTTACAGGCCTATAGTTCAGTTGGGCTTTGCCTTCTTTCTCAATCATTTGAGGTCCCTCTGTGGCTGAAGGGCCTGAGTCCTGAGCTGGGAACAAAAAGGCTGGTAATTTAAGTCTGGTTGTAGGAAAGTGATCTTAAGTCTCAATTTATGGGGTGGGGCACATGACTTTTGAAGAGAGGCTGAGTGAACTGGGCTTATTTAGTCTAGAGAAGAGAAGACTGAGGGGACATTTAATAGCAGCCTTCAACTACATGAAGGGCTTGAAAGAGGGTGGAGCTGGACTGTTCTCAGTGATGGCAGATGACAGAACAAAGAGCAACAGTCTCAAGTTGCAGCAAGGGAAGTTTAGGGTAGATATTAGGAAATATCACTACATCACTCACTAGGAGGGTACTAAAGCATTGGAACAAGTTACCCAGAGAGGTGGTGGAAGGTCCTTGGAGGTTTTCAAAACCCAGCTAAACAAAGCTTTGACTGGAATTATAGAGTTGGGAATCGTCCTGCTCTGAGCAGGTGGTTGGACTAGATGACCTCCTGAGGTTCCCTCCAACCCTAATTTTCTATGATTCTATGTTGAGCTGTCACTTTCACCTCTCCCAAATGGAGTTCTAGCAGACTGTACTTTTGACTGCCATCTTGTTTCTCAGTTTCTGGAAGGAAATCAAAAACTGGGAAGTTCTATTTCCACTACCTGATGACTAAAAATAAACCCTCCCATTAGCTCTCTCCATAACATCCTCCTAAATTTAAAACCACAGGGATTTTGTTGCAAGTTAATACTTGTATCAATAACTGGCAAAACTTTCAGGGCATGGGCATGGGCACCTAGAAAAAAACCCCCAAAAAGCAAAAAACAGGAACTTTTTAGGGATCTCAGAATTGCTCTGAGGCACTGAACCAACATACAAATTGAAAGAAAGGTATAATGTTTCAGGGTCTGACCTTTTCCTGTTCTGCAGAGGAGTCCCCATAACAAGAAATGCCACAGCAAGGAAAATAAGAATTGCCAGAGCTGGTCACACCAAAGGTCACTGATAGGAGACAGGACATGGATCTAAATGAACAAGCAGTAGTTCTCAGCATTTTTAGACTTAACACACCCCTAGGAAAATGCCAGCTGTTAGCTCTTAGCTTTCACTACAGAAGATATAATAATTCTCCTGTTGGAAAGAACTTGTAATGTTTTTACTACTATGCATTCCTATTCAAAGTCACTGGACTTAGCTTGTAATTCATGTCCATACACCCACCACTGCTAACTTTGCCACAGCACCCTGGTTGAGAATCACTGCTTTAGAGGAAGAGGATATTTAGAAAATGAATTCAAGGCTGCGTTGTACAAATTCCTAGTTTCATAGTTTCTAGGGTCGGAAGGGACCTGAGCAGATCACCTAGTCCGACCCCCTGCCATGGCAGGAAAGAGCACTGGGGTCAAACGACCCCAGTAAGGTGGTCATCCAACCTCCTCTTAAAAACCCCCAGGGTGGGAGCCTGCACCACCTCACTTGGAAGCTGGTTCCAGACCCTAGCCGCCCTGACCGTGAAGTAGCGCCTCCTGATGTCCAACTTAAACCTTCCCTCCGCCAGCTTGTGACC